CAGTAGGACAGCATAAGATAGGACAGTGCTCTACACTAAAGCAATTGTTGAAGCAATTCTACTCAAGCTGGCACCAAAGCAAGAATTATGAATTAGAGAGGGATGGAACTCCCCCAGACCAACGCTCGGGGGGAGATCTCTGCTCTCAACCTCCAGCACTGACCTTGGGGGGTCCCAGCCAAGGCAGGATTCTCCACACACCCCCCAAGAAGGGTTCTGTTGGCACAACCTGCCCCTGGCAAAGGGGACTGGCCCTTTCTGGTAGAAACAGATGGACTGACAGTCCCTGGACTCCAGGGGTTGCCTCACCATCAGGGGGGTCATTCGGGGTGGGAGCAGAGGCCAAAGCTCTTCCCGCAGTCGGGGCACTCGTAGGGCCTTCCCTTACTGGTGGGTCCGTTGGTGGGAGGTCAAGTGAGAGTTGCAGGTGAAGCTCTTCCCACACTCCCCACACTTGTAGGGCCGTTCCCCAGTGTGGATGAGCTGGTGGGTGCGGAGCGTGGACCTGTCACTGAAGCTCTTCCCACATTCACCACACTTGAAAGGTCTTTCCCCAGTGTGGGTACGCTTGTGTTGGATCAGGTGGGAGCTCTGCCTGAAGTTCTTCCCACATTCCCCACACGTGTAGGGCCGTTCCCCAGTGTGGATGTGCTTGTGTTGGATCAGGGCAGGTCTCTGCCTGAAGCTCTTCCCACACTCCCCACACTTGTAGGGCCGTTCCCCAGTGTGGATGTGCTGGTGTTGGATCAGGTTGGAGCTGTGCCTGAAGCTCTTCCCACATTCCCTACACGTGTAGGGCTGTTCCCCAGTGTGGATGAGCCGGTGGCTGAGGAGGTTGGAGCTCAGCCTGAAGCTCTTCCCACATTCCAAGCACCTGAAGGGCTTCTCCCTGCTGGGAGGCTGCTCAGGGACCACCAGCTCGGAGCTCCGGCTCAAGCTCCGGCCGCCTTCCCGGCACAGGACGGCTCTTTCCTCCTCACAGCTCCCTGGGCTGGCTTTGCAGCCCCTCCTCCGGGGGCATCTCCGGGCCTTTTC